GAATTAATGCATATTCATATTTATTTTGAACTACAGTAACATCTTCTGATTTCTCTCAACATGGGGACAGGAGAGCTGTCAATCATTTTTTTTTAAAAGTAACTTGCGTTACTTATTTGAAAAAGTAACTCAGATATTCTCTTGTAAATTAAAAAGTAATGCGTTACTTTATTTTTTTTTAAAAAGTAACTTGCGTTACTTATTTGAAAAAGTAACTCGGATATTCTCTTGTAAATTAAAAAGTAATGCATTACTTTACTAGTTACTTGAAAAAAGTAATCTGATTACGTAACTTGCGTTACTTGTAATATATTACCCCCAACACTGTATAAGAGTGCTATTGTGTGTAGCGATGGGAAGTCCGACTCATTTCAGCTGATCGGTTCTTTTAAACAATTTCACAGAACCGGTTCAATGATTCATTTTATGCTCATGCTGTACGTGATTACGTAATCACGTTGTATCCGAAATAGCGCGAGCGGACATTAAACACTAGTTCATATAGACACATATTGCTGTTTATTACGTTTTTTTAGTTTTATTTTCAAGAACGTTTGTTGTTCATGTGCCCGAGTTCAGTCGCAACAATGATTTAGCTCCGAAATATAGATTAATCTAAAATTAATTCTCTACAAAACTGTACAAAATTGTCTTGTCAGATAAAACATTCATACAATCACGGGATGAAAGTATTTCCAATACGTTTTATTTGTAACATTTTGGAAAGTTGTCTAACATTACGGTTCTTGGCTCATTACAAGCCGGACGTTCGTTCGAACAGAGAAGGTTCTCAGTTCATGTCAGTTCACCGATTCAGTCCAATTCGTAAACGAATCATTCAACCGCTCAGACGGATTTTGTGGAGTCATTAAAAAGATTCGACTCAAAAGAATCAGATTTCAGTAGTGTAGTGGGCGTTGTGATCTGTGTAAACAGAGCTTGCATTATTCTGAGCAAGCACAAGCGAAAACAACGGCGTATGCTAACATTCATTGTGATTGTGAAATCAGATTTTTAATGTCGTGACTTTTTAGTTTTCATCCATTTTTGCTCTCTGGTTCTCTTGATATGGGCTAAATGTTCGAAAGCTGTCAATACATAACTATATAAAATGGGTTCGACGAGCTCCACCCTATTAAAAATCCCAAACGTCGAGGTGTTGATGCAAGAAACTGGCTGTGAGTGACATTTGACACAATTGTGTTTTGTTACTGGCTTATTATTGTTGTCGCGCTTGAACGAGTAAACAACGATATGAAATAACATTTTTCCTGCACGTTTGTTGCCATTTTTATTTGTAACTCTCAGGCGTATGATCGCTAAGATAAAAGTATCTGAAATATTGGGTAAAAATTCGGTTTGCATGAGCGAAAACTGTCCTAGATTGACAGTGACAGGTGCTGTTCAGTTTGAGAATTTACCAGTTGCAAACGTGTTACAATACATTGTACAAAAACTACATGTATGTCTATATGTCGAACAATTTAAAAATAAAAATGCACTAATGAATTTCAGTGAAGCTGGTTGTAGAGGAGAACTGATTAAATGGTCAGTTCTATTTGTTTACGGTCCACGTGAACTCGTTTGTTAGCCTATTTGTTGAGTCATGATTCTTCAGGGCTTCTGTGAAACAACAGTTAATGTGATTTCTCTTTTCCAGTCTCGCCTGCCCACATGATTCGTCTCCATGATCGCTTCAAAGCACTGGATAAAGAAGGACGAGGTCATCTCTGGTGAGACTGATATTTAGTTATATCCATGACACAGACTCAGTTAAGATGCCTTTTGTAATTACAGAAATATTGACCCTTTGGTCTTGTCTCATTCTCACACAGTCCCCAGGATTTTGGAGCCATAAAGGAGCTGGCGATGAACCCAATAGGAGACAGAATAATAGGTGCCTTCTTCTGCCCAGGGTAATGAATCTTAGCATGAGCTCCAAACATTAGGAGAGTGAAAATAATTGATGTTCACACTGGAGTCTTGAATATTGGATTCTATTTCAGATAACCCCACCCCTAAATGACACATACAGGTGCATCTCAATAAATTAGAATGTCGTGGAAAAGTTCATTTATTTCAGTAATTCAACTCAAATTGTGAAACTCGTGTATTAAATAAATAAACTGGTGGTTAGTCGATTCATATTTTGGTCAGACGGTCTTTCCTGTCTAAGTTGGTGGTTTTTGACAAAAATAAACTGCACAATGATCAGGAAATTAGTTCTGAAAGATACAGCATGCTTGAATACATTTCTCAAAAAGGTCTTTTTCAGTTGTGTCTTGAAGTCATAAATAATGATGATAATCTCAGGAAGGAAACGGTGGACTTCCACACTTTTGTGAAGATCCTGGCTCATTTCCGGCCTGTTGACAAGAACCGACCCAAAGAGCCCAATTCTCCTGAACCCATCAATAGCAGGAGCAACAAACTCAGATGTATGTTTGCTTTTGCTTTTACCCGGGAGATTAGCCACATCCTCTTAGTAATGGAATGGGCGATGTTACTGTAGAGATAATGTACATTCAGACGGCTATTATCACAGAATAAAAGACACCCTGAAAGGGTTTATTTCACGATAATGACCATCTGACTGAATAATATCCTGCTTATTACACTGCTGTTCACCAAATAAATAAATAAATGGACATGAGATATTGATTTGAGTCGAAATAATCTTGTTCCATTAAATCTCGCCTGGTTCTTCATTCCTGTAGTTGCGTTTCAGTTGTATGACCAAGACAAGGATGGCAAGATTTCCAGAGATGAGCTTTTAAAGGTCACTAGCTTCTTCATTCATGTTTTCAGCAGTTTTCTCACAAAATGATCAAGACTGACAGCAGCCTGATTGACAGGTTCTCCAGGCCATGCTGGGAATGCAGGTGACAGAGGAGCAGCTGGAGAGCATAGCAGACCGCACTATACAGGAAGCAGATCTAGACCGTGATGATGCAATATCATTTGAGGAGTTTCGGAAGGTATCACCTGAAATTCTGCATTCACGGTGTTTCATAAAAGTATGAAAGCATATAGGTAGCGAAATTCAATTTAAAATGCAATATGCAAAATGGCAATGCAATATTCAAAATGGCAACGCAATATTCAAAATGGCAATGTATTTCTGTATTTAAATTTACATTTTCCATTACCCATACGTGCAAAGTTTGGTGCAAAAGGAAAATGAAAATTAAATTATAAAACTTACATTTGCCATTTCCAACAGTAGTCTTAATATGTAGCAAATTTGAACGCTTTAAGTTGCAAAATGAAAATGAAAATGTATAACACAAATTGATTTGATATGTGTAACATGTTCAAGCAGAAATGGTAGCAAAATGATCATTTAAATGCTATTTGTCCTAAATGCATTTAGACTAACAGTTAGAACACTTAGGATTGCATTTTCATCATGACGCCGTGGGATATTTGTAGCAAAATTCAATTTGAAAATGCATTCCGAGCTGACCACGCCCACCCTCTGTCACTCATTGCTTCAAGGCAGGGCTCCGCGGAAGTGTGTTACGTTTGGATCGTTTGAAACATGGCGGCTGGAGATCTGATAAGATCGTTGAATTCACTGGCAGATGAAGTGGAGCGTGAACAGAGAAATATATGAAGCGTATTCCATGCTAAAATCAAACGTTCAAACGACCGACCGACCGAACGTCTTGAGCTTTGAGAGTCTTACACTGCGGGTGACCCACATGACGTCAGCGTCTTGAAATTAGCTGGTTTTTAAACATTTAAGGAGCCAAGCTGCTGTGTAAAGACTAAATGGACATTACAAGCATTACAATAATTATATTTTATACCTAAAATAATACTCAACCATTTCCTGCATCCTGCTGTACTTCCCTGAATAAGTCTTTAAAGGTGTTGTAGGCTAATAAGTCGTTCTGAGTAATAAATTGAAAAAGCTCCCACCTGTATATGACTAAACAAAATAACATGTAGCACGTTATTGGGTGTCAATGATTGTCTTCTGGACAACTGTCAGATCAGCAGTCTTCCCCATGATTGTGTAGCCTAGTGAACCAAACTGAGAGACCATTTTGAAGGCTCAGGAAACCTTTGCAGGTGTTTTGAGTTGATTAGCTGATTGGCATGTCACCATATTCTAATTTGTTGAGATAGTGAATTGGTGGGTTTTTGTTAAATGTGAGCCAAAATCATCACAATTCATTTTCCTTTTGCACCAAACTTTACACGTATGGGTAATGGAAAATGTAAATTCAAATACAGAAATGCATTGCCATTTTGAATATTGCATTTTAAATAGAATTTTGCTACCTATATGCTTCCATATAAAAGCACCTGTTATTATTCTGATGGAATGTGACTGCTAATAATTGCGTTTCAACCTGTTTATTGTTTAGTCTCTGGAGAAGGTCAACATTGACCACAAGATGAGCATTCGCTTCTTGCGCTAGACTACTAGAGCATCATGGGATAGCGTGTATGCCTTTATCTCCAAGCTTCAGAGAATGGAAGGAATATCCCAAAATGCCAAGGACAGTATGATGAGATCAGTGTTTGTCTGTCTAACAGGAATTTAATGCACTGGTAATGTCTGCACAAAAACTGCACATTGACAAATATTTACACTACTGGAGAAGTGATTTTTATTTAGCCAGGATGCATTAAATTGATCAAAAGTGACAGTAAAGACATTTGTTACAAAAAGATTTGTTTTAATAAATTATGTTCCTTTGAACTTGCTATTCAGCAAAGAATCTTGAAAAAATGTTTCTACAAAAATATTGATTAGCTGATAATAATTATTATTACTGATAATAATAAGAAATGTTTATTGAGCTGCAAAGCTGCATATTAGAATTCTGATGTAGAATTCAGAAATAGATTTCTGAAGGATCATGTGATACTGAAAATGGCTGCTAAAAATGCAGCTTTACAGTCACAGGAAATTTAAAATGACATTTTAAAATATATTAAAATAAAAACAGTTATTTCAAATTATTGCGGTTTTATTTTTGATTTTAAAAATGCATCCTTGGTGTTTTTTTAAAACATTTAAAAATCTTACCGACCCCTATAGATTTTTGCATTCTGTGTCTTGATGAATTAATTTGATTGAATTGATTGGTTAATTTAGTATATAATTATAACTAGAAAAAAATAGTTCATAATAGTGTTCAGAATGCACAGTGTTGAATTATCTTATGTCACCCTATGTGGGAAAAAACAATTATTTTTTCTCTCTCTCTGTGAAGTGTGACAATCTCAAGGTAAGATTTCCCAAATCTAAAGGTTTATTAGATGTTTACGCTTTCATCTCGGTAGTTTTTTAGCATCTTGGTTGCGTGATGCTTTCCATAAATTTTTTTAATTCTGTAAATTTATCTTAATTCCTGATAAAAACTGGATTTTTTTTCTGAATTCAAATCTTAAAAAATGTGTTATTCTTTCAATGCAGCTATGCTTCTTGCAATTTTACGTACAAAAGAGAACCTCAGCTTACTGCACTTATGCATGCTGTACCAAAACCACTAAAAAAAGGGCTTTTTCATCTTTGTATGAAATTTAACTGACTTTTAAGAATGATATTAAAAATTAACTTTGCACAGCATTCAAAGTATTGTTTGGTATCTTTTTGGACCAAAGTTTTTAAAAATTGCTGACCTCTTCTTGTGGCACAAACCCAATTCGATAAACAGTGAGCAGTTTTTAAATTGTATTATGCAGTTAGATCACACATAATTTTTGAATACATCTGAACAGCCTTTTATTTTAAGCTGTGTTTTGCTATAGCCACTAGGTGGCGCCAAGTGTGTATTGTTGATTCATGCCAGTGATACACTACCATTCAAAAGTTGGAACGATTTTTAAAGCGGTTAATACTTTTAAATTGATCCAAAGTGACAGTAAAGACACTGATAATGTTGGTGAGCATAAGTACTTCTTATAAGTACATAAATACTTTTCTTTCAAAAAATTTTGAACAGTAGTGTATACTGTAGTGACCAAACACTTCTGTATAAAGATGTAGAATTTAATGTATTCCTCTTTCATATATGTGGTTTATTGTTTAATATATTTAAAATGAAATTTTTCAAAATGAGATGAGATTTGTACAGCATCATGCAGTATCCAAGTTATTATGCTTTACTCTTGGGCATACAGGCCACCAGCAACCAGTAACAGGAAAAGCCAGTGCCTAAAGAGAACCACAAAGAGAGAGAAGACTTCTCTTAATACTGGTATGTGCATTTTATAAACCTAAATAAAAAAGAAATGTCAAGTTGTCATGATTGTCCACAAGGGTTTTGTACCTGCTATTGTGATGGTCATGGTCAAACGGTACAGAAGGGCATCAGTGGAACCTCCTTTAATGTGGACTGGCAGACCGTTATCCTCCTGTAAGTGTGGATAAATGTTGCAAACAAAAGGAGATGTTACTCTTGCAATGTATGGCCACAATGCAACATAAAATTTGTATAGTTGTATTAATTGAAAAGTCCTTTTTGTTATGCTTAAGTAATCTTTGCAGGTAGAAATATAATGTTTCTTCACATTAGATACACAAAGAATAATATGAATATTAATAATTAATATAGTTATTTATTGATTGATTTATAATGATTCATTAGTTCTATAATACATATTTATTTATTTGTGTTATTTATTCTAAATTATTAATAACTTATAAAGGTCTTGCATATTTACAGTTATTAACAATAAGTAATAAATTCTTAATTATTTATTTATTTTACATTACCATATAGAATATATTTATATCTTTAAGATGATATTTTCAATAATGTTGAAAGCAAACAGTTTTGGTTTCTATTTTTATTTTTTTTTACATACAAACAGAACTGAAACTGTTTGGTTACCAACATTTATATATATATATATATATATATCTTCTTTTATGTTCCACAGAGGAAAGAAAGACATTCACACTGAATTTTAAAGTTGTAAATAAAATAAACATTATTGTATTGTGGGAATACTAAAGAATCATAAATGTCTTTGCACTATAAAGATGCACAGACTGTTTCAGGGCTAGAGTTTCAGACTATATGATGAATCAGTTTAAACTGAATGTGTTTTACAGTACATGTGCTTTTTACTTGACCTCTGAAATGTGCAAATGTAAATCAGAGCACAGTGCACACGCCATCTAAACTGATTCATATATTTTATGTATGAGTGTATTTTTGACATCATGTCAGTCTGAAATTCTTCTTACTAGGAAAACCTTCTGTCTGTCGGGCACCTTGTTTTTCATTTGCCGGACTGTTGTGTTGAACGCCCGTGAGGCTAGCCGGGGAACACTCTGAAATAACCAAAGTTTCATTACATTTTAAGTATTATTTTTATTTTTTTTTACATACAAACAGAACTGAAACTGTTTGGTTACCAACATTTATATATATATATATATATATTCTTTTATGTTCCACAGAGGAAAGAAAGACATTCACACTGAATTTTAAAGTTGTAAATAAAATAAACATTATTGTATTGTGGGAATACTAAAGAATCATAAATGTCTTTGCACTATAAAGATGCACAGACTGTTTCAGGGCTAGAGTTTCAGACTATATGATGAATCAGTTTAAACTGAATGTGTTTTACAGTACATGTGCTTTTTACTTGACCTCTGAAATGTGCAAATGTAAATCAGAGCACAGTGCACACGCCATCTAAACTGATTCATATATTTTATGTATGAGAGTGTATTTTTGACATCATGTCAGTCTGAAATTCTTCTTACCAGGAAAACCTTCTGTCTGTCGGGCACCTTGTTTTTCATTTGCCGGACTGTTGTGTTGAACGCCCGTGAGGCTAGCCGGGGAACACTCTGAAATAACCAAAGTTTCATTACATTTTAAGTATGTGAGTTATTGAAGCATATTCAGTGATATTTCAGTCATGTCAATTAAACATTCATCCCATAAACATTGTAGAACAATGTGCTAAAACACATTAGTTCCATGCTAATATATGTAAGCAATGTCTGAAATGATAGTCTAAAACATGGTAGCAGCATGTCAAATTATGCTAGCAACATGTTAAAACATGCCAACAAAATGCTAAAACATGCTAGAATCATGCTAAAACGTTAAAACATGGTAGCAGCAAAAATGCTAGTGATGTGCTAAGACATGCTAGAAACAACTTTCTATCTGTCGCATACAGATTCTATGGCTTTACAAGTTTTTCCATTGACATTTTACATTAAAGACAGTTTGTTGTGTTTTTCCTCATTAAATTAGGAAAATTCATGAATTATCAACCTAAGTCTGTGTTAAGGGGAGACACTGCAGGCAAAAACACAGTTTTTTCATGCACCTGTCAAATTTGAGATTTTGGGCTTTTTGGTTTTTCATAAAGTGTTTTTTCTGACTAGTGGAAAGAAAACATCCATAAGACACTGTTAAGTGTTTCTTTTATAGCACTTTATCTATTTGTGTCAATAGATTTCAATTACAATGCATATTTTTAAAGGCTGTTTTCTCAAAATGAGTTTTTTTCTCCAACGCTGAGCCATAAATCTCCTCTTCAGTAGCACTTACACTCACCAAACTTTACATTTTTATTCCTGTCTATATTCTGAAGGTTTTTACAGAGGGATTTGTTCATATATAATTTGCTTGATTATATACAACATTTTATTCCCCCCAAAATTGTGAAAATATAGTGTTTTCTGTCCGTTCTAAGCATTTTCTGAATTATGGAGTGACAAAAATGAGATACCCAAAATTCCCTCTGTAAAAACATTTGACTCTAATATGTCAAAAAAAATGTAACAAGAATTTTGAAACTGACATAATCCAGTGTTTAGATTTTTTTTACTAAAAATGTATGCAAATTAGTGCATATATCATTATATAATGACTCATTCGCATATTTAAACCTAACATTTTAGAAAACTTGTAATACAAAAAATGTTTGCAATTATCAATGTAATCAATCAGCTGGGTAAGTATTAGGCGATAACTGTTATTTTTTTTTACCCTATTCACCTGCAGTGTCTCGCCTTAAGTAGCCTAGGTTGTATTTTTGAACTTTCTTTTGGAACTCTCAGACCCCAAAGAGAAGACTAAGCAAATCCACACCTGAATATTTTGAATATCTTTGCTATATTTCAAGTAAGTTAAGTAGAACGAAACATGTGAAAGGAATGTAACATTTTATGGTTCTGAAGGTCAACCCAGCTCATGTGGAGCAGAAATTAGTTGTGGTTTTAGCCAATTGCTGCTCACCAGCACCTGGAACAAACCAATCAGATCATAATACACAATGGTAGGTTGGACTGAGAACTTCCCACCCCTTTTTACTTCACTGTCCACCAGTGTGTGTGTGTGTTTTTTTGCAATTATCAATGTAATCAATCAGCTGGGTAAGTATTAGGCGATAACTATGTTATTTTTTTTACCCTATTCACCTGCAGTGTCTCGCCTTAAGTAGCCTAGGTTGTATTTTTGAACTTTCTTTTGGAACTCTCAGACCCCAAAGAGAAGACTAAGCAAATCCACACCTGAATATTTTGAATATCTTTGCTATATTTCAAGTAAGTTAAGTAGAACGAAACATGTGAAAGGAATGTAACATTTTATGGTTCTGAAGGTCAACCCAGCTCATGTGGAGCAGAAATTAGTTGTGGTTTTAGCCAATTGCTGCTCACCAGCACCTGGAACAAACCAATCAGATCATAATACACAATGGTGGGTTGGACTGAGAACTTCCCACCCCTTTTTACTTCACTGTCCACCAGTGTGTGTGTGTGTGTGTGTGTGTGTGTGTGTGTGTGTGCAGCACCTGGAACAAACCAATCAGATCATAATACACAATGGTAGGTTGGACTGAGAACTTCCCACCCCTTTTTACTTCACTGTCCACCAGTGTGTGTGTGTGTGTGTGTGTTTCTGCATGTAGGCTTGCTAAATGTGGAGAGGCTAATCGTGACATGACCTCTTCAGTGCCCATTTAAAAAAAAAAACACGTGTCCATTTCATATCAGAACACACTTATTGCAGAGACTCAAGACAACAAGTTTACATGCAAATCTATGATCTGTTAGTTTCCATGTAGAGTACTTAAAATTATATCTGATTAGGTTTTTTAAAACATTTGTTTGCACAATCAAAAAGTTTGGAACTGAATGGTTTGCTCATAAAGCATGTGCTTCGGTATCAGGTGACTGTTGAGTGTTTTCTTTAGAGGTCGTCAGTCATTCTAAAACCATTGAAATTACCAGTGTTTACAGTACAACTTTAAAACAACAATAATCTCTTCGTATCAAAAACAAGACTACCAATAACCAGCTTTCCTAAGCAATGTCTGCAGTACGGTGGTCAGAGTATCATTGTGTGGCTTAGTTCCTGTTTCACAAGTATTTTAGGAGTAGATTCTTCCTGAAAACACATCTACAGCTGTTATGCAACAGACTATGGAAGAATAAAGAAGAACAGCAGTGTATTTACCAGTAAATGCCTCATGTCCGACGCTGCTCTCGGTTGAGCTTGTTGATTCTTGTCTAGTTGGGGCCCTTACAAGGACACACACAGAGCTTTTGAACCAGAGCCAAGCATTCAGACGGTGAAAGATCGCTCTGAACAGCCAAGCTGCCAGCTGACATGCAACACTGAACTGCAAAGTAGTAGTCATTTTTCATGTTTACAAAGCATATTGTAATGTTTTTCATTGAAGCATAATGCCTTAAAATGTCTTAAAGGAGACATATTATGCCCCTTTTTACAATATGTAATATAAATCTGTGGTGTCCCCAGACTGTGACTGTAAAGTTTCAGCTCAAAATACCCCACAGATCATTTATTAGGCAACAAAAGGCAACAAAAAATAAATAAAAACTGTGCAACACTTTCCAAGAATTTTTTGATTAAATTCTACCAATGAGACTTTTTCTTATCTTGATATTATCAATACAGTTTTATCAGCCTAATATTTGACTTTCTTCCCACTACCCAAAAACTAATTTTGAAAAAAATATTTTTAATCTATTCATTAAAATGTGCTCAACAAGTCTATTAAAGTCATTGCACATAAAACACATAAAAAGTTTTTAAAAAATGTCTGCATCTTAGTCGATCAGTTACAACTAGTAAAAAAAGTCAAATAATTAATATTCACCAGCCAAACTGATTAGGTTTATAATGTGTCCCGGTCAATTTTTTTTGAGTCCCGGTCCTGTTGAGCTCAATGTTCAACACATTTCATGCACATTTTGAATTTTGAAGCTTTGGGAATTTGGCCTACATTTTGAAATGACCCATTAGCGCACAGTAAAACAGCTGTGCATCTGTAATGAAGGCCATGTGAGAATATCCAAATTTGGCCATCATCACCTGGCCAGCAAGAGCAGAGCTTTCCCAACCATTTACATGATGAAACAAGGCCAGTGACCTCACAATGACCAATAGAAAGCAGTTTATATAGTTCAAAAGACCCATTTTCATGGTTTTTCAGAAATATGTCATGATTGCACAGAAAAGCAATCATTCCCCAGAGAACATATAGTGAGGGGAAAGAGTTTTGGCCGAGAGGGCTGAAACATCCAAGTTCCTGAGGCTCAATTAAATTGTCTAAAAGAGTGGGGCTATAAAAAAGGGTCTGTAGCCCTGAGTTCTTGCCTGCTCCACCAGGGAAATTCCCTTTGTCTTAGTGTATGCAACTAATTACAGAAGGAAAGCTGTGCTGCAAATGGTGTCTATAAAATAATACGTGTCTGTCCATAAAGTTCAAGATGACAAACTAGCATGCAGCCCCATCAATTTATCAACAGCGGGAAAGGGGGGGCTAATGGACCTTTTAGTAGCCAGGAAAGGGAAGCACTATGTCATGCATATAGTGCGGTTTTGAGTCACCAGACAGAGGACGGCATTCACAACTGTGCGTTTTCACATACCTGCATTTGAAATCTCTCTTAAACGTGCCCGCTCCGTCAACACTGCAAACACAAGACTCCTTGAGATGGACGGAGTCAGCAAACTCCACCGTCAAAAAGCTTGTCCCCTCCCAAACCCATCAACTCTTTGAATCGCTTCCAGCTCTTTTCTCCTCCGCCAGTGTCGGAAATGCCGCTGTTTGAGGGAGATGGGTGTAAAGCTCTTGGCTGCTGAGGGACTGCTCTAGCGCTCATTCTGGGGGCTTCAGAGGTCGGAGTGGGGTGGATTCTGTCTGTGTTTGCATTACTACCTCCATCAAAACCTCGAAATCTGCCGGGCAGATGCTCTTATCTGGGAATATCTGAGAACATTTGCCTTCGAGATGAAAATGAAATCTCGAAATTAATTACATTTTCGAATAGAGTGCTGCAGCCGTGATGTCAAATGCTGGAAGATTAATTTGCCATGGCTTCCCTCGAGATTGTCCTATGGATTTTTAAAATGGGGGTTTTAAATTTATGAGTGAAACAAGGTCTGTGGCAAATATAAATTGATGATATTTGGGCGTTTTACTCTGCAACGTGAATTAGACAAACCCATACTGAAAACTGGAGAAAAAAAAATTGAAGCAGCATGGTTTTATTTGGCTTTTTATTAAGTAACCATAAGAATGTATGCAGTGCACATTCAATAACAAAATGTCCAAATATCATCAATTTATATTTACCACAAACCTTGTTTTACTCATAAACTGGAAAACCCATTATAAAAATCCACAGGAAAATCTTGAGGGAAACCCATTGAGAATTAGTCTTCCAGCTTTTGACCTCATGGCTGCAGCACTCTATAGAATGTCTTCATAGCATAAATACAATGCTTAATTGCTTAATATTTTTGAAAATGCCTATTTTGAGTGGATGCAGAAACATGCTGTTTTTCACCATACTGAAAACTGGAGAAAAAAAATTTGAACCAGCATGGTTTTATTTGGCTTTTTATTAAGTAACCATAAGAATGTATGCAGTGCACATTCAATAATAAAATGTCCAAATATCATCAATTTATATTTACCACAAACCTTGTTTTACTCATAAACTGGAAAACCCATTATAAAAATCCACAGGAAAATCTTGAGGGAAACCCATTGAGAATTAGTCTTCCAGCTTTTGACCTCATGGCTGCAGCACTCTATAGAATGTCTTCATAGCATAAATACAATGCTTAAGTGCTTAATATTTTTGAAAATGCCTATTTTGAGTGGATGCAGAAACATGCTGTTTTTCATGCCTGTCTCTTTAAATGCAAATGAGCTGCTGCTCCCTGCCCCCTTTTCCAGAATAGAGCAGCTTGTATCTACTAAAAACATCTGTTTTGGTTCTGATTATCATGTTTATCGCACTGAAATCGTGCGTTTTATACCATATGAGTTTAAACTTCTGATATACAGTTTTCTGATATACAGAAAGCGGCTGTCACAGCATGTGAGTACTAAACTAAGTTCTCATTCACACACAAGTTTAGCGTTTTATACCATATGAGTTTAAACTTCTGATATACAGTTTCCTGAGCGCACACATCTGAAGCACATGGACAGAAAGCGGCTGTCACAGCATGCGAGTTCTAAACTAAGTTCTCATTCACACACAAGCTTATGTTAAAACACACATGAGTTACAAAACAGTGGGTTATGTCTGTGAAGGTAAGCTGCTGAGAAATAAATTGCATGTTTATTTTAGATATGTGTAGCAGCAGCAATATACAGTAAATAAATCAATAAATCCACTGCTCTCTTGTCTCCTCTGAGGCTGGGACTCTAAATAGTGTTCTGTGCTCGTCTGTGCAGCCAAAGACAGAACAGTTAGCATGTTTTGCTCAAACTTTCACCATGACATTAGAACTGGTACACACAAGTTGTCACCTGTGAAATCAAAATGATAACGCTGTGGGTGTAAACTTACAGATTAAGGGGTGGTAATATTATAATGAGATCCCTTTGCCACGTCACCAAGGGAGCGAAATCTGACACGCTCGTTTTCTCAGACGCTTGCAGAAAAAGGCTTACCAAAACAAAGTTACTGGGTTCATCTTTTTCACGTTTCCTTGGTTGGTAGATGCACCGGGGACCTGATTATAGCACTTAAAACCTGGAAATTCAGATTTTCATGATATGTCACCTTTAAACTATGCCTGTATTTTGTCATGAATAGAGACAGTCCAAAGGTCCTACACTACTACCTCCATTCTTCATTTTAAAGTTAAAGATTATTTAATTTCAAAACAATTCATTACTGTCCCGAAATCTGACTCTCAAGAATGTGGGTCATTATTTCTACAACAGATAAAGTTTTATAAAAATATTAATGGAGTCATGATTTTGGTTGGACTTAACAACTTTGAATTTCCACAGCTATTTTGCAGCTTCACCTACCAAACCTTCAAAAATAAAATAGAATTAAATAAAAAAATAAAATAATGAAATGGCACATCAGACAAATAAGCATTACATTTTGTCACAACTGTTTTTAAGCTTAACTTACCAAACCTTCAAAATAAAATGAAAAATAAAATAATAAAATTACAGCCATCTGACAAATAAGCATTTAATTTTCATTAGTTTATATCTATGTCACCTATAACATTAGCATTTGATTGTTTAGTGTCTTTCAAAGGCAATTTTAAGTGATATCTTGCTTTGTGAAGTAATGTTATGTTATAATAATATGCCAGTGTGTGCATATTTAATAAAAGGACATTTAATTCAGTCATGATTTTAAAAAGTTCAATGGGTAAACAATATAAAATTATTGTTTTATTTGCATTTTGATTAAAAAGGTTCTGTGTAAAAAAAAAACTTTGTGTTATAAAAAAAAATAGCTGTTATAAAAAAAAACATTGTGTTATATAAAGCTAAAAATTGGGCTTGAAAGGGCACTGTTATCATGATTATCTTGCACTTTCAAGTGCCTCAATTATGAAAGATCGCTCAGGCGAGACTTTCTCCAATTCTCCCCAGTCTCTTTCTAATCATACTGCATGGCAGTATCACTTCCTTTTCTCAGGTATGTAAACATAGAACGTTCACTTGTTTGTGGTATGTTTCGCTTCTGCGTTAGACTAGGGGAAAGGAAAGTGAAGCTGACACTATCACAGGAGCTCAGAGCTGCAGGATCAACATGAGCTACGGTAGTTACTTCACGCTTTCATCTCAGTAAAGAAATATATTTATAGGTTATATATAGGTCAGACTGCAGTTGTTCTGAATTTATAGATTTTGCTTCAACTGAATTGTGCTGTGTTGTTTCAGATAAACACATCCTCTGGGCCTGCGTCGCTGCTCTGGTCACTGGTTGGGTCCTCACGAATGAAGATGGACACTGTTCTGGGACTGTCACGAGGCAGTAAGACAGAGTCATTCAAATATTCTTTCATTAATAAATCACCATACGTTATTGACTAGTACAGACCAGCAGTATCTATCAAATATTTAAAGTAGTTCTTCCCAAAATGAAAATTTGGTGAGAATTTACTCACCCTCAGGCCATCCAAGATGTAGATTTTTTTGTTCATAGGAACAGATTTGGAGAAATGTTACATCACTTGCTCACCAATGGATCCTTTGCAGTGAATGGGTGCCGTCAGATAGATGATAAAAACATCACAATAATTCCACACGACGCCATCAATTAACATCTTGTGAATTGAAAAGCTGCATGTTTATAATAAACAAATATCATCATATATCAAGACATTTGAACTTTTTAAACTGTCGCTTCTGGCCAAAATACCAGTCTATAATCCATAATAGTGCTTCCTCCTGTAAAAAGTTCTTCCCCTATTGTCCTCTCACATCAAAATCCACCGACATATTTGTTTTGGACTGTTTTCACTGGTAAACGGTTTGATCTGTGCATATTTTTCTCCTGATTTAGGCAAGATTACTTTTTTACTGTAGAAAGCAATACTATGGATAGACGACTCGTTTGAAGTAAAATGAAAAAAAAAACATCTTGATGATGGTTTTATTACAAACACACAGCTTTTCACTTCACAAGATGTTAATTGAATGGCTTGGAGTGGTGTGGATTACTTGTGGAACATTGTGATGTTTTTATCATCTGTCTGACGGCACCCATTCACTACTTATAAAAGGAAAGCACTTCTTCTACTTCTGGTAAACACAAACTATGACCTTTCAGTGTTTTGTGATTTACCGTCTCACAGCTTGAAACACACATTTCCACAGTAAAGGTGTTTAAAAAGGTGTGGGAAGAAATTAGCATTTTAAGTTTAAAGCAGCACTATGTAACTTTTGGCGCTCTAGCGGTTAATAAACAGAACTGCACACATCCCGCGGAAGAACATTCCAACCGGAACTACTTCTCTAAGTTTAAGTCTGTGGCGATTCACGCAGGTATGTGTTACTCCGCAGCGGTGACAACCCGACCAGGCTACAATAGTCCAAATATAAGTACTTATTGTAAGTGTACCGTAGTGACTCGTAATAAGACAAAAACGCGGTTTGGAAGATGAATTCATGATGTACTCGCTCATTATATACATTTAGCAAATTTTGAACACAGAAAAAGTTACATAGTGCTGCTTTAATATCTGGTATGTCTGACAGTAGCTCAGTCATATTTTAATTTGATTTGGTTTGGCAGGAGGGAGGAATGGATTAAACACGGGACGTGTGCAGGCTGTGTGGAGGCCATGGGTTCACCGCTTCTTTATTTCCAAGCCGCAGTCAAGCTTCGGAGACTCTTTGACATTGACAAGTGGGTGTTTTTAGCATATATATACACGTTACCATGATATCATTTTATCATTCGCTCATCTGTTTCCCCCTATTTACATTTTTTTTAGTATCTTGGAAAGATCTGGAATCAAAACCTCATGCGAAGTGTCATACAAGGTAAGTTTATTGGGCACATTTGAATAGATTTGAGAAGCAACACTTCATCAATCTTTCCGTGATGTGATCTGCAGCACGATGACATACGGGGTGTTCTGACCCCGCTGCTCGGACAAAACTATGATTTGCAGTGTGTGACGGACAGCGAGGTGAGATAAGCATTGTTCAATTATATTTACTAGATTCAGTCGAGAATATCAAGAAATGTCGAGTTTAATAGGGATTGTCAACTGAACAGTCCCAAAATCCCGATGTGTAAAAAGACATTTGTACATTGCTTCCTGTCCAGCAGATGGCACTAGATAATAAATAATATCCAATCATATTTTGTGAATATGAGTTAGTAGGCTTAGTAGCCTAGTTTTTTTTTGATGGCAAGAACGTCTCTTTTGAGTTGTCTGTGGGCGTCACGTAAAAACAACATAGCACAAGTGTAGTCGGATTCACAAATAACGAACCAAATACTTACAGCACTAACGTGTAGCTAGATTCATGAAATAAATTACTACTTTTAATAAGTAGTTCAAAAAGACGTGTTATAATGAATCCACTGTGAAATACTGTGTCAATGTACATGCATAAATTGAATGTATCCACCGAGAGCTTCTTCCAGATGCAAGCAAAAATGGCATTATAACGGAAATATCCTCAGATGAATTGGAATTGGGAAATCTGTATTAATACCCAGTCTTAATAACATGAATAAATGATTAAAAAGTAAAATAAGTAAATTACAATTAAATCTAAACCCAAAAGCATGACTGTTCTTTCCTCATTTTTAGGGTCGTGAAGCGTGGATCCAGCTGAAGATCCATCTCTTCAGGAACCAAACCCTTGGATGCCCCAAACAAGAACAAGAGCAAAAGTTTGATCGGTTACCGTGGTCTAACAGCACAGGACATCCCTGTCCAAAGAACAGCACCATCTTTTATGTTCCAATTAACTACGAAAATCCCCACGAACCCTGTAACTAAGAGAAGCTGAAGTCATAGACTTTCACTGATTTCATGTTTGACTGTCCTTTTCCCAGTTTTCTCAGACCTGATGCATATGTTTGAATAAAAATGTTACATAATTCCTAATGTATTTAACCTTGGGGCATTTTTTTCCCTTTAGTGAGCAAGAAGGAAATATACAAATCACGGAATAAAGGGTTTTGAAAGACCTTTAATGCACTCAGAATATACACCAGTTATTAATGACATTAAAGGTTCAGTAATGTAATGGACCAGTAATGTAATGGAGCATGATGTTGAATAAACTTGCGTGGTGCAGAGCACAGCGGTTTATCTCATCTGTTGGAGCTCAAATCACTCATTAAGTGAATAAAAATGGAATTCCTCTTTATGGTCGATGTTCTAAACACCAGCAGGCAATAAAAAGTTTAAAACGAACAGCCGTCAGCTATGAAATATTTCATGCGAAAACTCAGGATGGATGGATTTGGGAACTCATGGTTCACATTTTATTTGACATGGAATCAGTTTGCCAAAAAGTATGTTTCTACACCACAGAAGAAACAAAATAGACTATCCACTAAAACCTTCGACTAAGTGCAAAGGAGAAAAAAAAAAAAGATGTAAAATGACAGCTACTTCACAATGTAGATGAAGACAAACAGAAGAAAAAAAGAAAGCTCACTCAAAGTGAATGATCTGCAGCATCTGGATTCGAATAGAAAAATGTGTTTAAATGCGTGGTGTTTTTCACGCTTCCAATTTCCCAAGGAAGCGGAGATTGAGAATCTTCAGTTGCTCATCCAGCTCCATTCTAACAATGCCGTCTTCACCATCAATACTGAGCAGGACTCCTGTGGCCTCCCTGTCCTCTCCCAGAATCACCTTCACCTGAGAAGCACACATTCACATTTATTTATGTTGGAGAAACATTTTTCCAAATTTGTTGTTACAACACAACTGACTGTGACACATAATAACCGGGTTCTTAAGCTGAATTTGGGACATCTGATTCAGTGGGAGAAGCTGCAGGATATAAATCCAAGTGATAATCTGTCTCTGCTTCCAAACCTGTTCATTGCCTAAACTCTTCACTGCGCATCCACTATATATAATGGAGACCAGCAAAATTTGCCCTGGTTAATTCTCATTACTTAAGTGTCTGCAGCATGGATTCCATTCAAGAGTGATTTCAGGCAAGTATATGCTTCATTGGTTCTTGCAGCTGTGACTTTCATGATTATGGACTTGTGGTTCTCTAAAAACTCTAAATCCAGTATTTCCCAAGAAATTAAAGGCCTAACAGTTTATGTATGTATATATGATAGGGGTGGCCACCAGAGGCCTCACGATACGATGTTATCACGATACTTGTGTCACGATACAATATTACTGCGATTTTAAATATATTGCGATATTCTGCGATATATTGCAATTTATTACCTTTTTCCAACTTCAAATTATGTCTCCAAAGGAAAACTTTGACATCTGTTTTAACTAAAAAGAAACATTTCTCAGTTTATCTCACTTCAGTTTTATTGAATTATACTAAAAAGTTGTGCATACCCTTCAGCAATTGGGGCATCTGAAAGTAAATTACTGTTAAATTTAAATTAAATTAAATAAAACATGTAGTCTTACATCTAGGGTTGCACCGAACTGAAAATTCTGGGCTGAAACGGAAACCGAAAATTCTGGATGCACTTGGCCGAAAACCGAAACCGAAAAGGCTTTGTAATGATTATTTATTAAATAATATAAAGTAATTGTAAGACTTTTTAAATTTAACTCAATTTTAATGATACTGAATTTTAAAAAAAGCCAATAAAATAACCACAATTTTACTGAAAGTAACAATAAAACTGGACAGAATTTATATTAATATTGGTAACACTTTACAATAAGGTTCATTAGATTAGTTAATTACTTTAGTTAATAAACTAAGAATGAACAATAGTTCTTCAGCATTTCAACATCTACTAATGCATTATTAAAATCAACAGTTGTGCTTGTTAACAGTTAATGCACTCTGAATTAACATGAACTAACAGTGAATAACTGTATTCTCATACAAACTAACATTAAGAAAGATTAATAAATACTGTAATAAATGTATTGTTCATTCATGATAGTTAATACCTTAACTCAGATATGTTTTTTTTTTTTTTTTACTAATCCAAATAATGTATAGTTCTACAAAGCTATTATTATCAGAGCATATGAGCAGAGCATAGCAGAGCAGAGCATAGCGTCACTGAAGGTAGCATTATTTTAGTAGCGTTGCCCAGTACAGTTGAACTAGCCTACAGCGTGTTACAGCACAGTAGCGCTACTTCAAACCGGAACAAGTAGGCCTATACCGCATAGAAATTTCCTGTCAGCGGACAGGAAAACAGGAAGTCCGCGTTATTTGAGCGGACTTTGCTTTTCCGATGAGCATGAGCAATACACGTCAGACAGATTTTCTCTACGACGCACGGTTTTTCCGTAAAATTGACCTATATCCCAAACCTACTTTTGCGAACTAAATCCCGATCGGAACCAAACCACTGCAGAAATATTCGCTGGACACTGAATATCAATAATTATCAAAAAAAAGTTGAAATTTAGATTTCTGCGCGAAACAGTACGCCAAGAAACCTCTATGCTAATGTTAGCCAAATGTTAATTGAAGTATAACTCTTGAACGGAATGAGATATCTTCACCAAACTCGGTACACGTATGTAGGAGCTTAATCTTTGGTCAAAAAAAAAAAAGCGCAGCTCTGCCACTTGGGGGCGCTATAAGACAGAAAAAACAAATTCAGCTATAAATAGGAAACCGTTGGTCTGATCGGCTTGAAAATTGGTATGCAGCGTCTTGGTCCAAAGTGGCACAAGTATCTATGAGGACATTCGCATATCTCAAAAAACATGGCCGCCATTGGCCAAACAAGTTTAAGCACCTATTAAACAAGGTTAACGGAGGTCAATCGGAAAGAAACTCGGTGGGCATGTTCGACTCAGGGCCTTAAAGGTCTGTAAGAATTTTGAAAGAAATCAGCCACTAGTTGGCGCTAATGAGTTTTTTTGGCTCTGTAATCACGTGTTGTTTCACATATCCACACAATATGCATATCATTTGATTGATCTCCTCATAATGCACAACTTTGCCTCAAGAACCATTGCTGTCAATCAAATCGTTCATTAATTATTCACAAATATGTTAAAAACCTACTTTTGTGAACTAGTCCTAGGTTTTTCGCTCAATCTCGATCAAACCACTGCAGTAATATCTCTCTAGATCAATAATTATCAAAAAAAATGTTGAATTTTGTCCTTTGGTTACTTATAACGGGGTCATTTAGAAAAGGGGTGTGGCCAGATATACCCAAAAGCCTATAACCTAAACAAAAACTCAAAACTCTATGAAATTTGGTGAAAACATGTGTCAGGTGACTCTCAACAAGAATGCAAAGTTTCATGGAGATTGGACCATAGGTGGCGCTATAACAGTTAAAAAGGCCTCAAAAACACAATATTTGTATAGTGAATGACCTCAAATTATAGAACATGTTCATATATTCACACAAACACTAGATCTTCAGATCATATGATAGATCTCCTCATTCTAAACAACTTTGTCTCTGGGACTAATGCTGTCAATCAAGTCGTTCAATACATATTCTCAATTACGTTAAAAACCTACTTTTGTGAACTAGTCCTAGGTTTTTCGCTCAATGTCGATCAAACCACAACAGAACAATTCTCTGGACTCCCTAGATCAATAATTATCAATTTTTTTGAATTTTGTCCTTTGGTGAGCTATAACGGGGTAATTTAGAAAAGGGGCGTGGCTACATATACCCAAAAGCCTATAAAAACTAAACAAAAACTCAAAACTTTATGAAACTTGGTGAAAACATGTGACTGCTGACTCTTAAGCATGCAAAGTTTCAGGGTGATCGGACCATAGGTGGTGCTATAACAGTCATAACTGTTAAAAATCATCATATTTCTTTGGTAAATTACCTGCATTTGCCCAAAATGCTATTTTTAATCATTGATTTAGGTGATTACAGCCATGTTAACACAAAATCTTTTTCCTTATGTGCTTAAATGCCTTAACTGCTTGAACCCCGGAAATCGCTGCTTGCAGCTATATTTATTATTATTATTATTATTATTATTATATGTAGCCTATATTTTCGGTGTATCCCTACTTACACCGCCTCGTTGTTTACAAATCCGATGTAAGTCCATACATCCGATTTAAACGCGGACGGGGCTTTCCTGATAACTTTCCGCAATGCCGCTCTCTTTATTTTACTAACTTACTGCTTGCTGAAGGTGACCCAGCAGACCTCACCAGAAAAAAACTCAACACCACCATCTAGTGGATTGTAAAGAAATGTATTTTATTATTCTACCAAATAGTATAATAAAAGATCGGTACTTGGCGTCTGTGTATTGATACAGTATTGCCGCAGAAAATATGGCAATACTATGCTGTATCGATCCCCCCCCACCCCCCCACCCCTAATATATGAAATTAGATAATTTGTCAAAAAAATGTTACATGCATTTATTATAGCAATAACAATAAATTACTGATTGCTTTGGTTTGGGGTTTTGTGTAAATTTTATTGCATTCTATAGCATGTAAATTAATTGTATAATTACACTGTAATAAGGAAACTTTCAATTGTATTATCTTAAACTATATTATATCATATCTGCACTCCATGAGCAGGATTAAAGGTGATAGTAATGTTGCACAGAATTGTCTAAAATGTTAATTATCGCATATTGCATACTATTTTACATATACTTGAGTTTTTTTGTTCATTTATAAGCAGTACACAGTATATAATGTATCATGACATATTTAGTAGATTGTAGGACTCCCCCGTAAACGTTAGTCGACTAAAGTTTTATTAGTAGCTTAGTCGCCGAAAAAAAAAAAAAAACTGTCCGTGCCCGTGATATCCAAATTTTTCTGCAAAGTGTGGAAGCTATTAGTGCACTAATGCATGATATGAAGGCGCCGGCGCAATCACTGACATTTTTTCCCGGTAACAGTGAAACTACTTAAAATACGGCATCATTTTTGCTCATACAGATAAGAGTAATACATCATTCGAAACGGTCAAGGTAGGGCTGTCGCGATAACCGCAATATCGCGCTATTGACGAGCAAACCGCAGAGGAATGCAAGAACTGCAGCAACCGCGATTTTTCCGTGTTTTATTTTTTCGTAAGGTTATGCCCTTCTCGTTTTACACTTCATGCATGTGGACTGAATATTAAACAAGTTAGTAATGATAACATAATGTGTACCATGCTGATTTGTACAGAGGCTCCGTAGATTTGCACTTAACAAGCCTAAACAGACAGTGAATGAGAGCGAGATCGACTGACCGCGTGCGATTACTTGCGTCTGTCCTCCAGGCCGAGTCATATATATTTGTGAAAATAGGTTGTCATGTTCAAGGAAAGCGAAATCTCTGTGTTAGCATCGACGCATACCTGGTCAGCTGAGCCTTCTAAAGTGGCGCTCAAAGTTAAAATGATTTCAACAGCATG